TATCTGTATATGTTACAAAACGTAACAAATTTGCAAGGCTTTTGCAAAAAAAAAAAAAAAAAAGACAAAACAAAACATTGCACTTGATAAAGCACAACCTTATACTATATAATGTTTGGAGGCGGCTTGAATAGTAACGAAGAAAACTTTGTTATAAGTTTAACATACTAACAAATGTACAACGTTCCAACAATCTAAATTGTATTGTATATGGTTTAGTTTGAGCTTCCTGTATCCGAAGTGAAGCAATGTCGATTACTGTGGAAACTAATTCACTCTGCTCTGATTTACAAGGCTCATTCTAGTTTGAAAGTTTTCAAGCCTCACTGTGGTTTGTTAACGGTATATAGCTTTCCGGCATAGATTCAATTTAGATAGTACAAAGACGCCTCGGCGTTATTAATAAGCAGTTTGAGCACCTAACTTGAATTTCAGTAATATCGTGACTAGTTTACAATATATCTTCAGTCAGACATATTTATGTAAATTTTTCCTAAATTCACATGCACGTGCTCTGCATGTGGCATGACATTTTTGTGAGCCGAATGTCGAAAGGTCGTAGACATATACTAATCATTTTACTCGTGTAAAGCTTGCATATACCTAAGACTAGAAACTCATGTCATTTGTATCTATGTCTTACCTCCTTGGAGAGGGTCGAGCCCATTTCAACGGGTGGCTAAGCTACTTGAAAAAATTAGTATGAGTTGTGGTTTAAAGTGCACATATACCTATGCATATAACCCAAACCCACACAAGTTTCCACCTGTGGATACAAGTACAAAACACTGACATACTCGAAATCTTCTGTTTTTTCTCTTCACAAATAACCGGAATTAGATACACATTTGTTTATGTTTGGATATTTTGAAAGGTATGTTTTTACTTCAGAGTATTCATGTTTAATTGAAAAGTGTTATTTGAACGTTTTATAATAGATTCTCTGTAAAGTTACATCCTGAAGAGTGACTTGTGAAGTCACGAAACCGGTAGAAAGAAGAGAAAACCAGAAGAGTATTTGGAATACTCGCTAAAGTATGAAGCGTTGGATCCTGGTATACTGCACTTTAACGCTTTTTTCCGAATTACAGCAGTAAATCACAATTTTTCTTGTATTGTGTGAAGGAATGGAGAATTCCCCTTGTCTTATTATCATATTCCATTTGCGAAGTGAGTAAAAAAGCCTCTTATTCTATAATCCAGTAATACACAAAAGAAAATTTTAAACCAGTCAGTAGGTAAGATACACAGCACATAATTGTGAATAAAGACTGTTTATTTGTCGACTTGTGTTTCTTTCCCTACTGTCCAAGTTCGAAATTATTCTCTCCACTACAGTTCCTGATTCTGCTTGGCCCGGCATGGCCAGGTGGATAAGGCGCTCGACTCGCAATCTGAGGGTCGTGGGTTCGAATCCCCATCCCACCAAACATGCTCTCCCTTTCAGCCGTGGGGGCGTTATAATGTGACGGTCAATCCCACTATTCGTTGGTAAAAGAGTAGCCCAAGAGTTGGCGGTGGGTGGTGATGACTAGCTGCCTTCCCTCTAGTCTTACACTGCTAAATTAGAGACGGCTAGCGCAGATAGCCCTCGTGTAGCCTTGCG